CGATGAGCCAGCAACGTACGTAACGCCCCGGAATCTCCCCGCAGGTCGGATAACGAGATCAGCCTGGTTTGTCGCTCATAGACCCCAAGATATGATGTGACGTGTTGCTTATGAGGACGGGCAGCAATTCCAACTTGGTACGCGCCGCGTATTGGCAGAGGGGATAATATTCGACCACCATCCTAACGTGGTGCATCAGTCATCGATTTCGACAGCTCATACATTATAAAGAACGGAGAGCCTCAGTCCCATGTGGAAATGGATGCCAAGTTTGCCACGGAGCTCTCGGAGAGACCAAAACCAGGCGTAAGGGATGAGAAGGGTCTCGACGCAGGACAGCTGGCTACCTATAAGCCGTCATGGCGGTTGACGCGGATGAGGCAGCACACAATCCGGGCTCTCTCATAAACCTCATTTACTAACTGCTTTGACTGCCACCAACCTAGGCAAAAAAAAAAAAAAAAAAAAAAAAGTGTTTATTGTGCAGTTGTGCCTATCGGCGAGGTACTTTACTACGCCGCCCAGAAATGCAGCCCTTCTCCCCCCCTCAACAACTAACAAGAAAATCTTATGCACCGCACCTTGAACGGTCCAACGCGTCGCCCTCAGAAATGACGACATGTCCCTCCTGGACGGTGAAGTCGGTCTGGTACAGGCAGCGCCCAGCGGGGCAGTTGGCATGCAGGACCATGGTGCCGCCGCCGGCGACGCTGGACGCGCCGCCCGTGGCCTCCAGCTTGAAGGTATCGCTGCCCTTGCCCATGACCTCGGCCTGGCGCACATAGGGGCCCGCGACGTGCGCCGCCGTGGCGTACTTGATGTCGTACTCGGGCACGTTGTAGCAGTGCGACGAGAAGAAGAGCACGTAGGTGCCGTTGACCTTGGCCAGGCTGGGCGCCTCGACGAGCGGGCCGTCGAGCGCCGGGTCGCGGTCGAGCAGCACCGCCGGGGGGGCGTCGCCGTTCACGCGCGTCACCCCGTCGGCGTAGTCGACCTCCTGCAGCATGATGGGTGTTGGGAACCCCGGCGGGTCACCGTTGCCGCACGGCCCCCCGGGCCCCTTGGAGCTACCGTCGACCTTGTACACGACGTAGCGCTTGTGCATGGCCTCGTCGACGAAGCCCGCCGCGTCGATGGCCCCGCCGCCGTCGAGCGGGCACGCGAACGGCTCGGCCGCGGCGGTGTACGGGCCCGTCATGTTGGGCGCCGTGGCCGTGCCGATGCAGTGGTGCGGGCTGTTCGCGTGCAGCCCGGAGTAGTAGAGCACGAAGGAGTCGGTCGCGGCCAGGTAGTGCACGTCGGGCGCCCAGATGTCAGGGTGAACCGGGTCGACCCAGGGGCCTGGAGCCGGCAGCAGGTCGACGTCGGGAAGGAAGGTCCACGGGCCGTGCAGGGAGGCGCTGCGCGCGGCCTGCGTGTTGTGTCCGTTGCCCTGCGTCGCGAAGGCGTACCACTCGTGCGTCTGCGGGTCGAAGGTGATGGATGGGTCCGGGAAGTCTAGGTTACCCAGCATCGGCGCGGGCGCTGCTAGGGCGAGGGCGGCTAGGCCGATGAGGGAGAGGGAGAAGTGCATCGTTTTGAATGTGGTGAGGCTTCAATAGCGAGGTCATGTAAGAGAGCTGGGTATGCTGGGTGTGCTGGGTGTGCTGGGTGTGCTGGGTGTGCTGGGTGTGCTGGGTGTGCTGGGTGTGCTGGGTGAGCTGGGTGTGCTGGGTGAGGTCTGGGTAGCCGTGCGGTGTCGACCCGACCCTCTTATACCACCGTGGGAATTGGGGAATATCGCGGCGTGGTACGAATGGACGTGAATAGATGCCGATCGAAAGAGTGAACTTCATGATTGGGTTGGCACACGGGTATATATAGGCGGCCGAAGAAGCCATTGCAGGTGGGTGTGAACGAGCTGCAGGCCTGCCATTTTGCCGGCATTCATCGCTATTCACAACCTTGCCGGCGGTGTTCCGAGTCACGGAGATTGTAGGGCTGTTTTGCCCCATCTTCTGCGTCACCGGGCCTGCGGATACCACCGTGGACCCCTATTTAGGTTCGCACGTGGCTGGCGGGTGGTATGGATCCGTGTTTCACAAGTTCTGCGATACAGGGCCATGAGGTCCATGATGGGAAGTCGGGATGAACATGGAGGCGAAGGGCGGCACCTGCGGTCTCAGCGTGAGATCAACCGGATTTGAATCGCATCGGGTGCCCGCCGGAAGCGGCGAGAACCGGCGGACCACCAAAGCCAATGACACGCAAGTAAGAGGATGACATATGCTACGGTGAGGTGAGACATGCTACTTCAAAAGATCTGACAGGATCCTGCTCTTGCTTGGCCCATCCTCTGCCAATGGGCTGCTCGACAAAAAGCCACAAAAAGCCACAAAAAGCCAGCCGTGAGGAACACGTCTGGAGCCCAGTGCCGTCTACACGTCATACAAGGGATCAGCAGGCCAGAACACCCAACAGTCGACATCCCCAATCCAGCCAGCCGTCGAACATGAACCCGCCGTATGTACTACCCAACCCCGAAGATTGCCAACACCGCACCGTCCGGCAATCGGACCTCCCCCAAAACCCCCGCGCTAGAAGCCCTTATTCACGCCCTCCCAGCCGGGCTCGGCCCTCTTGGCGCGGACCAAGTCGCCGGGCCACGAGGCCTGCGGGGCCTTGAGCGGGTCGAGCAGGGCCTGCCTGACGACGGCATCGCCTAGATCCTTCTCGATCTCGAGCTGCGGCAGCTTCCAGCGGATCATATCCACAGTCCCGGGGCCGCCGGGCAGCGCGTCGGGGCGCGGGGCCGGGTACGACCCGAAGTCGGCGCGGACGGCGAGGCGCACGGCGCGCGGGGCGCCGGCGAGGCGCTCGGCGATGCCGGGGCTGGTGTGCAGGGCAATGGCGAGCCAGGCGGCGCGGGCGGCACCCTCGGCCACGCCGTGCGCGCGCAGCAGCCGCGCCGCCACGTCGGCCCCCACCACCTCGAAGCGCTCCGGCACCGCGTCGTGCTGCGCCGCCGCGCCCATGTCGTGCAGGATGCACGCCACGAAGAGCACGGCCGGCGCGTCGCCGGAGAGGTCGCCGCCCGGGTCTGTCGACAGGCCGCCCTGGTCCGGGTCCGGGTCCGGGTCCGAGTGGAACAGCCGCGTGAAGGCGTGCGCGTACAGGTACACCCGGAACGAGTGGTACAGGATCGAGGCCGGCAGCGACGCCTTGGCCAGTGTCAACGCCTCGGCGCAGGCTGGGTGCGCCGGCACCAGCGCCTGCACGGCCGCCGGGATCGCGCCCGTGCCGACCCCGGTGTCAGCCGTGTCGGAGGGGCGGCCCTTGCACATCTTGATTAGGAGGGCGAGTGATGGGGAAGTTGTCGGTCGTGGTCGCGTGTAATGCTGCAGCCGATGATGACGATGCGCGCGGGCAAATGTGGTGGACACGCCGATGTGCAGGACTCACTCTGGGCCATCCTCGGCTGGAGGGGCAAATTTGCGCTGCGAGGCCGCCGGCGTCAGCGCTAATTGAGAGATTTCAACTCTAACTCCATCTCCATTGAACAATTCGGAAATGGGTGAAAATTCCCATGATGGACGTGGCCCGTGGCGGGGGCGAGCGACTTGGGAAGGGCGCAGTGTGCATACATGTCGTTCCTGCCGTTGTTGTGGGTAAAAAGGGAGCAATAGGAAACGTCGTCAAGCCGGCTTAATTTAGTCATCACAATCCTTGTCAGCTTCGGGCAAAGAGTCACCTTCCTGATCGGGAGTGCCAGTACACGAAGCGGCAAGACTAGAAGAGAATGCAACCCAAATATACGCTGTACGCACCTACCTTACCTTGAGCCCAGGCAGCACTCGATAGGGCGTGGTACGATGCTTCGGACTTTGCAGTATAAAAATACTCGGCCCTATCCTCTTTCAAAATCCGTGCCATGCCGTGCAATTGTCGAATTCTCTCGGATGCAAACTGGCACCCAGCTCGGCCAAAATGACGACCCCCCACAAACTATCCCCGCGGTTCGAGATCCGCACCCTCGACCCGAAGCAGCCGGGGCACGTCGAGTGGACGGCTGCCATCATCACGCACAGCAACGTGTTCCTATCGCCGCTCTGGCCGTTTCTCTACCCCGAAGACCAGGCCGCGCGAGCCTATGCCACCTTCCAGGGCTGCAAGGCCATGGTCGCGGCGTCGCTGGCCACGGGCCTCAGCCTGGGCGTCTTCGACAACGAGTACCAGTTCAAGCGGGCCGAGTCAGCCGCGACGGGCGGGCGGCTGTACTGGGACGATGCCAACCTCGACGCCACGGCCGACGAGCTGCTCGCGCAGATGGACTTCCCGCTCGTGTCCATCGCGCAGGCCTATGATGGCGCGACACCCATCGACAAGGCGCTGTACGCGCCGCTGATCGCGGCACTGCCGGCGTTCGAGACCATGTACAACGCGCTCGAGGCGCTCGACAAGCGAGACCCCGCGTCGTGGAAGCCCGCGGCCGCGGGCGAGGTCATCATGCGCAGCGGCACGGCTACGCGCGGCGACTACGAGGGCTTCAAGCTGGCCAAGGGAATGGCGCAGTTTATGATGCAGGAGGCCGCCGGCGTCGGGTACCGCGGCATCCAGATCGAGACGGCCCACCCTGCCGTCGACAAGATCTGGATGAACCCGCCCGCGCCGTTCCGCGCCGAGCGCATCGGCGCCTTCCACACCAGGACGTACGAGGTGGAGCAGGACGGAGAGACGACCAAGCCGTTCGAGGCCGCGGATCTGAGGTGCACCAAGGTCTATGTAACCCTCAAAGTCTAATTTGCATGCCTCGGTAGAGTTGACAAAACATTCTTCTTTTCTTTTGTTTTTTTTTTACATACCTTAACATCAATCTAAGCTGCCTTTCCCGCAGTGCCATTTCTGTCGATGCTCCTACGACTTGACCCCTGAGTGTTGTCTCTCCAACGATCCACGCGCAATCCGCACGACTCCCCTACAAGAGACGGGGAGCATGACTCCAAACACATCAACAAGTCAGCGGTCGAGTGGCGTAATGGTAGCGTGTGGTCCTCCTATCCAGAAGGGCTCAGACTGAGGTTGTGGGTTCGAGTCCCATCTCGATCGTTCTCTGACCCGCTGAAGTAACTCGGTGGTTCGATATCATTTTTGGTGTTCTTTTGCATGCACCCCTTGGAATCAGATCTGAACCAAAGGGGTAGAATGACGAAATGCCATTCCGCCTCTCGGTGATCCGTAGATTTCCCTGCAAAGTGTCAGCTTGTATTGAATTGGCTGATGGAGTTGTAGCTTTGCCAAGATTTGGCATGTGGATAGTAGCTCCGTATCTCGGGCTTATCGCAACCTCTGACCGGAGATAGAGGCGCCCGCTCAGCTCACTGACATGGAGCGCCAATTCGCCGAATGCGAATAGCGGCGGATGCACAGTCGGCCGTGTCGGATTTCTCTTCCATTGAGCCAGGCCCGCGGCGGCAGGGACAAAGGCTTGCATTGACTGCACATGACAGAAAGCGGAATGGCGCCAAACCATCTTCCCCAACCCCCCGATTTGGCTTTACCGACAACGTCAGGACACCCCACCGTCTGAAGCTCAGCTCACCATACCTCACCTCGCCAACAACTCCACCCAGAATTCCACCCAACTCACCACCACCACCACCACCACTAACGTCCCCGCAATGGCCTGCCCCGACTGCTTCAAAGGCACCCTGCGAGGCGACGCAACCCCGTCGGGCACCGAGGCCGTCCTCCACGGCCTCGACACCTACATCTCCACGCCGCCCCCCGGTGTCCCATCCCTCGGCACGGTCGTCCTTCTCGCCGATGCCTTCGGCTGGCAGCTCCTCAACACGCGGGCGCTCGCCGACGCCTACGCCGCGCGCGTACCCTGCACCGTGTACGTGCCCGACGTGATGGGCGGCCACGCGCCACCGCCGCAGCTTATGAATCTGCTGGAGTACGTCCCCCCCGCCGACGCCTGGCTGCCCGTGCGGGTCGCGCGGCGCGCCTGGGCCCTCGCGCGCGCCGTCCCGCTGCTCGCGCGCTTCCTCGTGCGCTGCCGCGCGGCCGTCGTGCGCCCGCGCGTGCTGGCCTTTGTGCGCGCGGTGCGCGGCGTCGTGGGGGAGGGCAAGGTCGGCGTCGCGGGGTTCTGCTGGGGCGGGGTGTACGCGGTGCGGCTGGCGCAGGCTAGGGAGGAGAATGTGGTGGAAGGGCGGGCGGTGGCGGATTGTGTGTTTACGGCGCACCCGACGTTTGTGAAGGTACCGAGCGATGTGGAGAAAGTGGTGCAGCCGCTGAGCGTGGCGAACGGGGATGATGATGCGCAGATGGGCGCGCGCGGGATGGTGAGGCTGCGGGCGATTCTGGAGGCGAAGAACGATGCGGCTGGGAAAGAGGTTCACGAGGTGGTTGTGTACCCCGGCGCCAAGCATGGGTTTGCCGTCCGCGGCGACCGCGCGGATGCGCTGCAGAAGGAGAGGGGAGATAAGAGTGAGGACCAGGCCGTCCGGTGGTTTCGCCTACATTTCGAGGCTTGAGATGGGGCGCATGGTGGTATTTGGCGTGCGATCGAAATACCGTGTGAGTCCTTATAATTATATTAATATCATTTTCCGCCTAATGTGGCATACTGGGGGACATGCTAATAACACATGGATCTATTTATCACAGAATGCATCCCATCAAGTCCCTGAACTCATCGCTATCAAGTACCTAAGGGACCTAGGTAGCAAAACATCATCCTTCTCCTTTTCAAATCATCTGATTGATCAGAGGCAGCCGAGAACCTCTTACCATAGCTATTTGTTGGAGATGCTGCCCCACCTCGAGGGTAGCGCACACGCCACCACGCCTGCCTGGCTAGTGCCATGGCCTTAGCGCCATGCCACACCCAGATAGCTGCTGCAGGCCAGGAAGTTCCTGACCCGCAACACAACAATTCATCACCACTTTTCCCAATTGCTCTGCTTCGCCCACACTATTCGATCCCCTTCCTTCGCCCTACGGCTTGCGGTTCGCCCAAGGCAGCCTAAGCGAGTCCTAAGGACATCTTCACGACGTATCGCCCGAGCGCTGTCTTCCATTCTTCGAACTGAAACCCGTCCAGGGTACTGAGAGAAAACCGCTGGCGATGAGGTTGGGCATCTCAGACGTTCATAGTATGAGGGAGCAAGAATGGTTTGTCTGTTGGCCTGTATGATTGGGAGGGAGGTCATAGGTGAATATATATGGATTATCCGTCTGAAAGGGGGGACCTAAGGCGGCGCGAACCCATCATGTGCTGCCAACCCATGACACTCGCACACGACTCCCACCTTCCACCCAGCCGCCTCATATCGCGCCGGCATGTTCCATAAGACCCGGCCAGCGACGTTATTGCCCTTCTGTAATATGCAATCTCCCATTTGGAGCCTTATCCTTCTCCGCATCACTGCCTCAACTGCTCGGCTTCCAAGCAGTTCGGCTAGGCTACGTAACGTCTCGCGGTGGTCCTAAGCGTCCGATTCCCATCCCACACCATATTTTTTTACCTTTTTCAGCCCAGCCTTTTCCATGTCGCTTCGGGATCGCCTCCCCCATAATTCAGACAACTCTTCTGCACGTCCAGCAAGCGTCTTCAGGACTCCGGTCGAAACAAACGCGGTCGCAAACCTCCAAATCTCGAGCCTCGCCTGAGAAGACTATGTCTATGCTGGAAGGTACGGCCCCTTCAGGATTACCTCAAGCCCTTGTAGTGCAGCTAGGATCCGACTCGTACTTTGTTCGGCCCCGAGTTGAGGTGAGCCAGTCGCTCTTTCCGCACCTTGCTGCCTCCACCCCACCTACCCCTAGCTGACTGCGATGTGTGTGGTGTGTGCCAGGCCACGTTACCCGAGTTCTTCCCCGCTCCGCCTGCGGGCTAAGGTCCTTCCAGCAGCTATTATCTACTACAGCGATGGGAGCTTATCGGTTGGGGTAGTCGAAACTCTTTGCCCGCTTCTTGAAGACCGATGGTGTGTTCAAGGATGCTTTGGCAAATGATGCCTACCTTATCGTCTAGACGTCCTCCGAGGGAGCTAGCAATGAATCCGTTTCCATAGATCTAGCAGAGTTTCTCAAATCACACGCTTTGACCATCTTCTTCGCGAGCGAGGTTCCCCTGGTCGAAGGCCCCGTATTTCGTCTTGGGCAGAAGCTTTCACGAATCCTGGCGCCCCTATCCTGATGATCTTGGTGTCTGCACTAACCGCGCGACACATATAGATGCTTCAAGTCACTGAAGGTTTCGGCCTTCATAGGTGCGAATGCCGCCGTTGCTGTGCCGTCGCGTCTGTGCGCCAAGCCGACCGAGGACCAGCCCCTTGGAGGAAGACATATCAGCATTAAAGACAATATGCATCTGACCGGCGTTGTCACCGGTCTCAGTAATCGGGCCTACGCCGAACTTTGCGGCAGGCAGCCCGACACGGCTGAGTTCATCCAACTTCTCATTGACAACAGAGCCGTCGTTGTCGGGAAGACTAAGCTCCTAGCACGCACTCCTGACGTCATTATTAAGGATGTCCTTGCTATCGGTGGTAGGGTCGTGCGACCAAGTCATGTAAGCACCCACAACGATAGCAAGAATACCTTTGGGGAGAGGAAAAAACTCATGGCTAATTCCCTTTTCTCTCCAAATATCCAGTGGCCGACAAAACTGCTTTACCCGACCGAGTGGTTCCTAGTAGCGAACAATGAGCAACAACAAATGAACGACAAGTTTCTCAATCTTCTCAAGAGCTATCTCGGTCTCAAACACATCATGTTCTCTCGAGGAGGAGTGGAAGCGAACGGGCCCAGCTGGTTTGCGCAACAAGACCGTTGCAGATTTGAGACATCTGTTTTCAGTCTCTGACTCTGTCTATAGGAAAGACGGCACGTAAAAAACAGGGGAATCCCGGGACGAGGCAGAACGTGTCGTCAACAAACTCAGGGAGTGGTCGCGCAAACAACTCTTCCGGTGAGATGGCGAAGACTCCAGTGCAATCATGCTTGTGCCACTTGGTAGACCAGACGTGGAGACTCCTCCCCCACCCCCATTCCGAATGTTGACACCTCCCAGTCGGACAGAATTCATACCAATTCAGGGTGTCTGAGAGGACTGAATACGCCCCGATCGGGAGTTCTATCGTCGGTCCGCCGGGCTCTGACGCTTCTCAAGATAGCTGAAGAGGCGGAAAAGGGCCACACCGATGTGAAGACGCTGCTGCAAGCAAAAAAAAAAAAAAAAGCTCGACTACCACAGATGTCCTCACTGATTCCGATGCAGTAGACCACGATGGTGAAACCCCGCTGACCAGAGCCGCGAGGTATAGCCACGAAGAGATCCTGACGCTACTTGTTGAAGAGAGGCTGCAAAGCCACCAAAGCACGCGCAGCCAGGAAAACGAGTCACTCTCGGCCTGGGCCTCAAGTTACCTGCACCGGGCAGCCAGAATGAACTGGCTTGGTCTTGCCAAAGTATTGACTGACAGAATACCAGCTACTAGCGCTTCCAACCGGAGTAATGCCAGCTATACAGGGACAGCACTCTGCATCGCCGCCGAGATGGGACACTTCAGAATTGTGCATCTCCTCCTAAAGGTGGGTGCCATGCCAGACTTTGAGACACCCGAGGGCATGGACACCCCCTCGCTTCTAGCTCTTAAAAACGGGAGGGAGGGTGTAGCAAAGGCCCTCATCGAAGCGGGGGCAAACACACGAAGGGTGAACGCCAGTAACGAGAATGCAAGAACTATCGCCGCTCATCTAAACCTTGCCTCGATCCACACCCTCCTTGACAAAAACGATGAGGATGGACCACTTGCCAAGGACTTGGAATCAACGAACTCTACGACGGATGGCCTATTCGGTGCCACTATTATAGACTTCTCGTACCATGACGGAAGCCTCAAAACCACGGCCAGTGAGGTTCAGGTCGCGTCGCTCTGCCGAGACCAACCTCCAGAGGATGCGAAGACGGCCTTCCGGTGGTTTCATCTTTCTGCTAATAATTTAAGCGACCGAGGAAATCACCTCGAGCTGTCTGAAACATATGCTGACCGCCTTTAGGTGAGATGGGTTGAGGTAGGATCCGGGTCCTTAACCAC